GTGTGTGTGTGTGTGTGTGTGTGTGTGTGTGTGTGTGTGTGTGAGTGAGTGATAGGTAAAGTCGTTAGTCCCATTTTATAGATGAGAAAACGGATCCCGCAGAAGTTAAGCTACTTGTCCAGCTCTAAGAAGTGGCAGTCTCAGGGCTTGACTCCAGGTTTGCTATTCTAGCGCACTCCCCAGTCTACTCTCTTGAGCTGCCTCTGTGTCCGAACATACTGAATCACGGGTGGCCAGTAAACATGCTCGTCACTTAGATAGCCAGGGTAGTAGTCATTGTAGTGTGATGAAAACCAATTGGCTGATTTTATGACTTCACCACTTATGTAAAGATCCAAATCTTAAACCATTCCAGTTACGGTTTCTTGGATTGAGGATTAAAATCTCCATGTGTAGCATTCCTAAATGCATCACCTGGGATTACGATGGCCATGGATAACGTTAAAACACCCTGTCAGTAGCGGCTCAGTGGCAGGGCTCCATTGCAGAGGACCTGCTGGGGCCAGCAAAGCATCCTTCCCATCAGCCGCGTTGGCCCAACGTGGTGTTTTCTTCTCCATTCATGTGAGACAGACTGTGAAGAAGGGCTCCAGGGAGCAGCAAAAACGTATCAGAAAATGCAACCTAAATATAAAGACCAGCCTTTTGAAAATGGCTTCATTTAAAGAAAGGAAGGAAAAAGGCCACTAAATCATTGGCTTCAGATGTGTGAAAAGTCATTACTGGAGAAAATTAGCCAGCTGAATTTCAACTTTGCAAAATCTTTTATTAGAGGACCTAGAAGTAATAGCAATAGGAAACTTCTAGTTAGGTTTAAATAAGAACTTTCTGGAGGCAATTTTGATTTATTGTTGGCATGGATTAATAATTTATCGTTGGCATGGTCTAATACAGGTGGTCAACACCTTTTCCTGAAGGCTTTTTACAGGGCAGTCACTCACCTGTTGAGGGCGACTTCTATCTTTCCTAGGGACTAAAGCCTAGAATTAAGTGGCCTTTTGAGACCCTGGCCAGCTCTATAATTTTCTGTGAATGTGTTGAAATAAGCAGAACAGCACTGAAATGTATTTCTCACCTGTATATGGAAAACAATACCTTTTTCCTAGAGTTGGTATGAAGATTAAATGATGCAACACTGTGCATTAGTGCCTAGTACATAGTAAGCACTCAAGAATGATACCTTTTGCTTTAATTATCATTCAGTTGCTTGGTGCTAAACTAACATCTGTTTCATAATAATGAAATCTATGTTGTAAAGAAGCTGAAATGATATTAGTATCATTGAACAATGCAAAAGAAAAGGCTGATGCATCAGGCTCAGATAGGAGATGCACATGAATTAGAAAAGATGGGGGCCAACCTTTGCAGATGTAGCTGCTATGAGAAGTAGAAGCTCAAAAATTCTCTAAGTGATTTTGGTTACACAGAGCCCTTATAATTCCCCCATCCCTTGGCTTTATTTAGTCATAAAATATAAGAGGCAACTTTATATCCTGATACAAATAATTGATGGCACTTGTGATATAAACTTAAATTGACACAATTCCACTGTATGTGCAGGGCATA